GAAATAATGAGAAATAGTGGGTAATAATGGGAAATAATGGGGAAAATAGGAAAATAATGGGAAATTGTGGGTAATCGTAGGGGGAAATGGGAAATAATGGAGAAATGATGGGAAGTATTGGAGAAAAATGGGGAAATAGTGGGAAATGATGGAGAGATAACGAGAAATACTGGGTAATAATGGGAACTAGTGGGTAGTAATAAGAAGTAATGGGGAAATGTAGGAAAATAATGGGAAATAGTGGGATGGGCAAATATGGGGGAATAATGGAAACTAATTGAGAAATAATGAGAAATATGGGGCAACAATGGGAAATAATTGAGAAATAATGGGAAATAGTGGGAAATAATGGGGGAATATGGAGAAGTAATGGGAAATAGTTTGAAATAATGGGGGAATATGGAGAAATAATGGGAAATAGTGGGAAATAATGCAGAAAGAATGGGAAAGAATGGTGGGAAATAATAAAGAAAAAATGGAAAATAATGGAGCAATAACGGAAAATAATAGTGAAATAATGGGAATAATGGAAAAACAATGGGGAAATAATGGAGAAATAATGGGGAATAATGGGGAATAATGGGGAATAATAGGGAAATAATGGGAATAGTGGGAGATAATGGGGAATAGGGTGAAATAAAAGAGAAATAATGGGAAATAGTAGGTAATAATGATAAATTATGGGAAATAATGGAAATATAATGGGGAAAAGATGGGAAAGGATGGAGAAAAACAGGAAGTGGGAAATAATGGAAAAATGATGAGAAATGACTGGAAATTATGGGAAATAGTGGAGAACTTACGGGAAATAATGGGAAATAATAATGGGCAGCGCTCCGAGCCCGTGGGAAAGGGAAGTGCCGGGGGAGGCGGAGGGGGAGCCCGGAGCGGGCGGAGCCGCAGCTGCAGCCGGAGCGCAAGGCTCCCAGCCCGGCCCCGGCATCGCAGCACCGCCCCGGGGAGGATCCGAGCCGCTGCCGCTGTCGGGAGGTGCGTGGCGTCCGGGGGGCTGCGTGGGGCCGGGAGGGGAGCGGGGTCTTGTGGGACCCGGGTAGGGCTGGGGCGGCGTTGTGGCTCCGGGATGGGATGAGATTGGGACAAGGGTTGGGATGGGAGCGGGTGTTGTCCCCCGGTGGCAGCGTGGGGAAAGCATAAAGAGCAGGAGAAAGTAATGTGTGGGGTACGGGTGGGACTTGGGGGGCGCGGGGGTGTGGGGTGGTATGAGGATATGGGGGGATATGGGGACATTGGGTTATGTGGACGTGTGGGGATGCAGCCTGCAGGAGTGCAGCGCTGGGCAGAAGGTGATGTGTGGGGCAGGGATGTGGGGCGGGCATGGATGTAGGGGGGCTATGTGTGGATATGGGACAGAGCTGAGGGTATGGGGTCATGTGGAGGTACGTGGGGTTATGGGATCACAGCCTGCAGGAGCGCAGTGCTGAGCAGGAGATGGTAATGTGGGGCAGAGATGTGGGGTGGAGATAGGGGGCGGAGGGACTTGGGGATATGGGGGGCACAGAGACATGGGGACATTGGGAAATGGGGTGATTTGGCATTGTGACCAGCAGGAGTGCAGTGCCACACAGGGGGATGTGGAGAGGTGGGGCACAGATGAGGGGCACAGTGACATGGGGATGTATGGAGATATGGGGTGGAGATGTGGGGCGGAGATGGGGCTTGGGGTACATTGTCACCCTGTGGCACTGGAGGTGGCTGTCCTGAATGCAGGAAGGGATGGGAAATGTCAAACCTTACACTGAACCCAATGGTGCTTTGGGGTCGGAGCACAACACGGCTGCTGGAGCTGCAGTGTTTGGAGAGCAAACAGAGCTTGAGGAGGCTCTGTAGGGCGGGACTGAGCTGGGTGCTGTGTGCTCGTGGAGTTTCTGTGGGGAGCATTGCTGCAGTTCTTCCAAAAGACCGATCAGTGAGCAGCTTGGGCAAAGCAGATCTGTGTGCTTCGCTCAGGGTTGGGTCCCCAATCCCAAATGCACGTTTTCATCCCGATGAGTTTCATGGCTGGTTGGTGTCCGGATGGTGTCCATATGGTGTCTGGATGATGTCCAGATGGTGTCCAGGTGGTGTCCAATTGGTGTCTGGATGGTGCTGTGAGTTCCAGAAGAGGGTTTGCTGCTGGAGATGGGCTGGATCTCTCAGCTGGCAGAGCGGAGCCCACGTGACGCCTTTAATTCCTGTATCCGCGGCACGAAAAGTCAGAATCAGGAAATCTTGAAAGGAAAAAAAAGAAAAAACACCCGGCGAACCAAAGGTACTGAATACAATGCTGTGCAAAGCAGGAAGAGAGCAGGTCAGGGTGCTGGGAGTTCCCCAGGCTGGTTTGTTTGGCTCAGGCTTTTCTGCGGCCCCTGCGATTGCCGTTGGTTCTGAACCAGCCCGGAACCAAAACATGACGGAAGGGCAAAGCTTGGGGCAATTCTCCACGGAAGGGAAGCGCGCAGCCTGGCTCACTGTGGCCAGTGTTTTTATTTCCTTTAAATCAAAATCGAAGGAGATTGCAGAGGGATTGGGAGCAGAAAGCAGAGCGCGCCCGGTTTTGCAGGAAGAGGCGCCGCTTTGCTGTGGGCACCTCCTGGGGAAGTGCCGTGGGGAGGGGTGGGTGAGCCGAATACCTGCATAGGAAATAACTCCGAAAGTGCCTCTCTGGAACGTGGGGAGCAATTAGTGCCAATCGCTGCTGGCAGGAAGCAAAACCCCACGGCCTGTCCCTCTGTCTTGCTGCCGTTTGCCCAGTGAGTGGCGATGGAGGTGGCTGGAGGTTGGCCAAAGCCAACAGGAGTTGGACAAACTGGCAGCAGGGAGAAGCTGTGGGTGTTTCCCAGTCTTCTGGGTTAGGGGGTGGCTGAATATCACCGCATGCAGGACTTTGTGGAGGAGAGGGTTGTGGGGATGGGCTGAGCTCACAAATTAGAAGGAGAAATCATTAATGAGAAGGTTGCCCGGGTGCAGATATGGACATGAAGGCAAATGCCTTGGAGCTGACATCAGCCTGCCTGCTCCCGGGGCTGGGGAGGTGCAGGGAGGAGTTGTCCACGGTGTGGGGAGCCTCAGAGTTCAGGGCTTGGGCAAAATACCAGAGAGCTGTGAATGCCCCATCCCTGAAAGTGCCCAAGACCAGGCTGGATAGGATTTGGGCAGCCTGATCTGATGGGGGCAGCCAGCCCATAGCAAAGGTAGGGGGCTGCATGGGCTTTGGGGTTCCTTCCAACCCAGGTTTTCTCTGTTTCTACAGTCTTCCAACCCAACCATTCTATGGGTCTTTGATCTTTAAGATCCCTTCCAACCCAACCATTCTATGATTCTATGTTTCTTCGATACTGAAAGTTGTCAGAGGCAGATGCTGAGCCACCATCAGCCCCAGGACCACGCTGGTCATCAGCTGTGTGTGTCATCCCCTGCTGAGCTCATTTGCCTGCAAGGTGAAAATGGTTCCATGTGTCATGACCTGAGCATGCTGCCAGTGGCCGGCCCCAATGGGATGAGCATCCATCTCTGACCTCATCCAGGGAGTGGAAAACCCTGGATTTCACCCTGAGCAGGGCTTGGAGCTGCAACCTGATGGCAGTAGCAGGAAGGGGATGCAGTGGATTGGTTATGGGGAGCAGCGAGGACTGCCGTGGTTTCTAGTAAAAGGAGCTGAGTGCACACGGAGCCGTTCTGGTTTAATGATTCGGAGTTCCTGATGTAAATCATTGACAGCAGTGAGCACAAGACTGCAGGTGTGCGTGGGATGGGGACAAAGGTGGCTGGGGCTGCTGGTGTGGGGCTGGCTATGGGGCGGGGGCTGGCTGTGGGGAAGTCTGGAGCTGTGGACACAGACACAGGGCATGTCCCCATGTCACCACTGAGGTGGGAGCAGAGCGGTGAGGGCGGTGAGTACAGACTGGTTGCAGGTGGTGGCTCACGATGGCAGTGAACAAAGTGGGGAAAACGTTTGCAGAACAATCTTGGAGGGTTTCTGGATTGCAGCACGGGACTGAGAATTCCCTGCCGCCGGTTGCCAGAGCAGGGAGGACACGTGGCAGCTGTTGTGTGTTGTTTCATCTTGCTCTAGATGATTGGATGGATGGATGGATGGATGTCCACGGCCACTGCCAAACTGGAGGTGCATTTCTGGCCATAGTAAGGCTTTGGTTTGGTGCTTTCCTGGAGGTGCTGCAGCTTTCCCCATGCTGCCACATTCCCTTTTCACTGAGGCTGCACTGCTTTTTCCAGACCTCCTTCTCTGACCATTGACGTCACAGCAGTGGGGCTATGGCTACGGCAGCGAGCTCTGATAAGCCTAAAGTAGAGATAATTAGATGGTGAGAGAGACACGGACGTCGCCGCGTGGGTTAATGCGATTTGCCCTCCCTGCAGGGCAGGGATCTGGGCCAAACTTTTCAACGCTGCAATGACGGAGCAGCTTAGAGAGGTGCCAGAGGGAGGCTGGAGACGGTGGGAAGGTGCTTTGCTTTTGGAAACCTTCCATTCCTCCAGCAAAATGAGTGCTCTGTTCCTTTCCCGTCTCGTGCCCCTCCCCACAGATCTGTGGCTGAGGGCATGCGGTGCTGTGATTTCTCCTCCCCCAAAGCCCTGGCAGTGCTTTGCAGGTGGGAGCTCAGTGCCTGCACGATGCTCTGCTGGATGGATAGCTTGAGGATAGGAGTCTGTTGGTAGGGGAGTGAGTGGCACACAGGGGCCATCGCTTGGTCTCGATGGCACTGGTGTGGCTTGGAATGGGGCCGGATGCAGCAGGAGGTGAGGAAGGAGCGGGACATGTGATGCAATTCCCCATTGCAATAAGCTCCACACCCACAAAGGTTGTCGAGTTTACAGCCACCTGCAGCATGGATGCTGTCCCCAGCACAAGGCATGGCATGGAGCTGCCAATTCAGCACAGTGGGCTCTAGTTGGGGCTTGGGGGCTGTCAGGCAACCTTCTGACAGTGAGTGCTGGTGCCAGTGAGCAGCTGTGGATGATGAAGGATCCAGCAGCAACACCTGGCGTGTCCTCACTGGGCTGCTTTCTAGGGCAGGAACTTCAGGAGAGGTGAGGAGCAGGGCTGGGGCTGCGCTGAATGCAGAGAGAGTCCTTTGGGAGCATCCAAAGGGGAATTTAAGAGCGAAGGGCTGAGATGGGGAAGTTTGCTCTGTGTCCCCGTTGAACTTGATGGCCTTTAACGGTCCCCATTTCCTTCCCTGGCTTTTCCTACAAGTTGCTCTGTTTTCTGGGAATGCTGCTCATTTCTAGCCATGACCCAGTGACCCAGCACGCTCTTGAGCTAAACAAGCAAACACGAACCAGGGACCAATGGCATAGATTGCCACGACGTGGAGCAAAGGCGTACATGGGAAAAGCATGCAGCAGCATCCTGTCCAAGGGCTCCTTGCACAAACAAGCACTGCAAAGCCAAGAAAGGAAAACAAAGTGGCGGTGTTTGCACAGCTGCTTGCTGGCTTTGGCACCCATGGGATGCTGCTGTCAGACCGTGACATGGAAAGCTGGGGTCCTTGCTGCATTACCTACATGCAGCTTGCAGTGTGAGGTTGTGCTCCTTGCTGCCATCCCTGCGTGCTGAGGTTGAGGCGAGCTGCCAGGAGATGCAGTTGCATGTGTTTATTTTTGGAAATACACATCCCATGTGTGTGGCTGGGGAAATGCAGGCATCCCGTCCAGGGTGGATAGGCACCATTGGCTTGCCTGGCTCTGAACCGGAGCGCTCAAAGCAAAGTGCTTGGGTCAGGGGGCACCCACTGGAGCAGTGTTGTCTCTCTGCAGGTCTGCCCATCTGCTCTGCCCGAGCACCGCACGCATGGTAGCCGCCCGGGGCCACCAGGGATGCAGTGAGGTGGCCAACACACAATGGCCCCATCTCGCACCAACGGGTCACACTACGCACTGACAGCCATCGGGATGGGGATGCTCATCCTGGGCATCATCTTGGCTGTGTGGAACATTGTGCCTGGCTTCGGACACCCCGATAAACCCAATGCTGGGAATAGCAGCAAGCCCGACCGCGGTGGTGGGGGCATTTTTAAGAGCAAGACGTTTTCTGTGGCCTACGTGCTGGTTGGGGCAGGTCTGCTGCTGCTGCTGCTGTCTCTCTGCTTGAATGTCCGTGACAAGAAGAGGCAGAGCGAGGATATCCCCAGGGTGGTGCAGCACCAAGCATCCGTGGAGCCTTCGCAGCAGGAGGAGGACAGGTGAGTCCTGGGGGGGGCAGCAGGAGCTCAAGCTCAGGGAGAAGCAAACCCAGCTGTGTTGATGGTGGTGTGGGTGAAAGGAAGCACTGTGGATATATATAAGATGTGCTCTGGAAGCCAAGTGGGCATAGCTGAGCCGTTGGATGCCTGTGTGGTCAGTACACACTCATGGGGTGGCACAAGGAGATGCTGTTAATTGTTAACCCCAGGAGATGGGTGGCTGCTGTGGAGCAGGCGAGGGGCTATGGAGTCATTAAGGTTGGAAAGACCAGTAAGACTATCCAAACGTCAACCCCTCCCCACCATGCCCACTCGTAGAATCATTAGTGTTGAAAAGACCACTAAGATCATCCAGTCCAACCACAGGACCCCGTCACTTAAAAGCAACTTGCTAAAGCAGGAACAGTGCAGAGTGTAGGTGTGCAGGTACCAGCGTGCAGGCGGATGCACATTTGTGGATGGAACCCAAGCTGGTATGCATCCAGGTTGGATATTAGGAAAAACTGCTTCTCAGAAGGAGCAGTGAGCAGTGATGAAGGAGGTGGTGGGGTCACCCTCCCTGGAGGCTTTCAATGTGGCGCTGTGGCACTGAGGGAAGTGGTCAGTGAGCACGGTGGGGGTGGGTTGGGGTTGGACCTGGTGATCTGAGAGATCTTTTCCAACCTTTGTGGTTCTATGAAGGCAGTAGAAAGATGCCCGAACATAGGTGGCGTTGCAGTCTATTCAAAATGCTGTATAACATAGAAGGGCCAATGTTCTGTCCTTTATTTCTGGCTGTGTTTTCATCACCTCTCTCTATCCCATGCCCCACTGCAGTCGAAGTGATGTGGGGCTGACGTTCTCTCTTTATCTCCTGCAGCCAAGAAGAGGATGAAGACGTGTCCTCCCGCTACTACGTCCCCAGCTACGAGGAGGTGATGAATACAGGCTACTCAGAACCCCACGACCCGGAGCAGAACCGCAGGATCAGTGTCTCACTGCCCTCCTATGAATCACTGACAGGGCTTGATGAGGGCACGCAGCCCCCAGGAGCAGCCAGCGCAGAGCCTGGCACCGAACGGCCACCAGGCCGGCACAACTCGCGTCTCAGCAAGCGCCTGAAGCCCCTCAAGGTGCGGAGGATCAAGTCGGAGAAGCTGCATCTCAAGGACATCAGGCTCAACCTCGGTGATGGGAGCAGCACTGGCCCCATCACAATTGAGCCTTTGACCCCACCTCCAAAGTATGAGGATATCCAGGAAAAAGCACCTGGAAGCCAACAGTTGACTTAGGAAGGACGGGTTGGTCATTGCGCGGATTGGAAACGCTCGGAGAGGGCTGGTCATGGAGTGCAGAAGTGTTGGATGCTCTCTGGATGCTGAGGTGCTGATGTGGAGGGAACTGCAGCATTGCACAAATAGGAGTGGGTCTTCCCAGGACAGCGTTGTGTCAAACACCACGGGGAAACGATGATGTTGTGAAGGATGTGAAGGCTGGAAGAGTCAGACGTGTGTTCTGCGTTGTTTTAAGTTAAGGACCACCTAATGTGTCTTCTCTCCTTTGTGCCTTGCCCCAGCAATGGATTTCCAAGCCACCAAACTGCTATTTAATAAGAATTTTCCAAGAGGAAAAAGGGAAATGTTCTGTCTTTCTTTTTTTATGTCTTTTGTTTTTGAGCAAGGCAAGTAAAAGTGTCAGGTTAGTGATGTAGCTGTCACCACTCCAGACACCAGTGGGGTTGGGGATCGTGGCACAGGGCTGGCCAAAGTGCCTGTGGTGTTGCATGCTTGCTGGTGCGAAGAGGAATGAAACAAGCCTTTAAGCTTGTCTGACCTATAGGCTTTACCCATAGGAGGTTTCTTACTGGCATCACTGTCCATTCTCCTGTAGGAGAGGACTGTATTTCTTGCCTCAGTGGTTTTCTCTTTTGTGTGTTGTGCTGCAAATCGAAGGGACAGTCCGTCTGGGGCTGGAAACTGCCATAGTGTACAACTGCCAAGAGTTGTTCAGGGTGTTCTGGGTGAAATGACAAGACCATACAGTGCAAGCAGTCCTTTTCTAAATAAATATTTTATACGTGGGGTGCGTGTATGTGTGTGCATCTGTGCGTGCAGGTGGCCGTTCCCATGGATCGAAGGCCGGAGCTGTATGAAATCAGCCAACTGGTTAAGGGTGGGTGCTGCTCCTTGGGCATCCCAAACATGTGCTACCTCCTGGGCAACAGCATCTACAAAGTCACGCTGTCCCCCAGCCAAATGTCCATGCTGTTATTGTTTGTAGGATGCTGATCTTGGTGTCGGTGTGGGGATGGTTGGCTCGGTGATTGGGGATGTAAAAGGTATGAGATGAATGCAAATGGCCAAAAAAAAAAGGTGTGAATGAGATGTTGGTCCAAATCCATATGGTGGTACCTGTGATGATTTATTGCTTCGTATTCTATCCCATCATTCCCATTACTGCAATGGGAACTGTGCCCCAAGGGATGACAGGCGGGCAAATCATATAATAAGGGACTTCCTTAAACAAATTAATGGCACAACAGCAAAAAAAAAAAAAGAGCACTTTAAACATGAGGGAAATTTTGGGGAGGCAAAACGGAGATCCTTGTTTATCACTGTTGATGATGAAGGGATGAAGAGGTTCTGCTGCTCCTTGGCAGCTTTTCCTCATGGCGTGGGAGTGTGAGGGTTGCATGGTAATGTACTGACGACTGGAAGAGCCCTTATTTCTGAAGGCAATGGGAAAGGAGAGGGAGAGGTGGCAGCCATCTTCGGTGTCACGTCCCTTCTCATTGGACAAGATGGCTGGTAAAGGTCATCTTAGAAACACAGGAAAAACCTTTGTGTGCAATATATGTGCGGTTGAGTCACTGTTTGGTGGGGGGGAAGTGCCGTTGAGTCGAGTTTCTTGGGATTTAGCACTCGGTGTTGCAACACCCATAAACCAGAGTGCAACACCCACCAGCTCCTCGTTAATCTCATTAGTGTTGGCCTGGGTGTGGAACGTGTGCCCGGGGAGTTTTGTGGTGCTTTCCACAGCCTGCCAGCCTGTCAGGTGCTGGCGGAGATGAAATTGCCCGTTCTGAGATCCGAATCTCACATAATGTGAGGTATTGATGCTCTCCTCTTGAAACGTGGAGGGAGGTCTGTGTGCGAAGGAGGACGGTGGTGTGAGGAGGGAGGCCTGGCCTTCACCCCTAATGGCGGCCATCATGGCGGCTTGGTTGCCATGGTGACAGGGATGGGGGGGAGTGGAGGGGGGAAGCCCTACAAAATGGTGCCCAGGACCCTGGGGATGCATCAGGCCATCATGTTGGCATTCAAACCTACTCACAGCACCCCAGGCTTCGATCTCCATTTAATTAAACCCCATTAATCCCCTCTCCACAGCGGAGGAAGCCCCACAAGCTAAAGGGCCCTCGTGGGCCACATGGTGTAACCCATTGCAGGAGATGAAAAACAAGAGAAAAAGCAAAAGATATATACATATATATACTGTGACATGCTCAAACCAGGTAGGCTGCATGACAAACTGTGTTTCAATACGGGGAGAAGCGATGTCCTTGGAGAAACAAGGAGCTGCAATGACACGGAGCTGTGTTGTGCCCGTTGCTTGGATAAAGGGCAAAAAAAAAACAACAAAAAAACCGAGCAAAACAAACAAGAAGGAAAGCGGCCGGGTTTTGGTGTCACAGAGGTTTCCCTGGCTACCGTGGGTGCAGGGAGGAGCAAAGGGAGGCTCTGTCAATAACGTTATGGCTTTTATTGCAGGAAGAGTGGTGCGAGGGGTGCTGGAGTTGTTTGCAGTTATGGGAGGTTGCTAACTAAGTAGGATTTATTTTGCTTTAGTCTTCGAGGCCATGAGAGCATTCCTGAGGAGCTCGGAGGAGTGTTTTCAACTCAAACAGCAAAGAACCACGATAGGGAAACACGAAGGGTCAGACATCATCCTGAAGGTAGGGGTGAGCATGCCGTGAGGGTGGATGATGGATGGGAAAGGTGTCAGAAATTAGAGGGAGAGAAGGGGCATGGCAATGCTGGCATTAGCGAGGGTGTAATCCCAGCACAGGGGCTAACTGCCCATTTTCGTGCTTCGGATGTAAGGAGGGTGACACACTGCAAGCCTAAGTGCCCCATCTGTGCAGACACCCGAGGTCAGGCTGGAGGGGCTCTGAGAGCTGATGGAGCAGTGGGTGTCCCTGCTCAGCGCAAGGGATTTGGACCTGATGATCTTTAGGTCCCTCCCAGCATGAAGGGTTCTACGATTCTGTGATATAAGGTTGGCGAAGACTTCCAAGATCACCCAGAGGGCTGGGCAAATCCGCACCGTAACACAGCCTCAATTGCTCTCCAAGGTTTTTCCCACTGTTTGCTGCTGTCAGTCTGCAGGGGCAGGAGAGCACCACGCAGCCCTCGAGTTCACCGGGTGGGAGAGTGGATTCGTCCTGCAGGACCTCAATTCCCCACAGGGCACCTTTGTGAATGGCTGCCAGGTGCAGAACGCGGCCGTGCACGTGAGACCAGGAGACATCCTGCGCTTCGGAGCTCAGGGAGCATCCTTTGAGCTGGTGGTGGATGGAGTCCCCCAGGTAAAGGCAGGCTCCGAAATGGGCGTGTGGTTTTACGTGATGTCAAGGGGGTGTCATGCTCTCGGGCTTTTATTCTTAAATCATCAAGAAATAAAAAGCTGGAGCTCCCTCTGCTGAAGAAATTCAGGCAACTCGGTGGGGTGAAGGAAGCATGGAGCAGATTTCTGATGGCAAGCCCATCAGAACTTGTGGAGATAGGTCTTGGGAAGGTGTGAAAGCATTGGGAAATGGGCTTTAGGTCTCTTTCAACTGAATTTTCCGTTGTGTCTTTCCTTAGATGCTAGCGTTAAAGGTCCAAATGAGAGCAAATTAATAAGCAAATACACTGTTGGTGCTTTTCTTGGTAGTGCTGTGCACAACTGCAGGCTCTGTTCTGCACAGCAAGGCCAGAGCATCACAGCTTGACCTGTGGAAACAACAGAAATCCAAAGCAATTGTAAATACGGGGTCAAATCTAGTGGAAGTCTTCTATTCCTGGGAATAGGGCCATCTCAGGATGTCAGTAGTGCATGTGGGCTATAAGTACTTAAAATCAATACAATCACATTTATTTTTATTGTCCTGGCTCTTGAGGAATCCTAAGAAAACAGAGATTGAGAACGGTGCTGGAAACCTGCGTGCCTGGCAGCCCAGCCCGGGATCAAGGTGAATGAATGGCAGCCTGTGTACTCAGATGCTGCTTTTGGATGAATCAACAAGGTTCTTTGTGTTGGAAGATGACCCCACGAACGTGCCCAGAATGCTCAGCCCGAGAGGAGAAAATGCATTTTTGCAGGATGAATCCATTCACCTGGCTGGCTAAGGCTGTGCAGGTGAAGTTTGTTCCATCTGGAACACCCAGCACTTTGATTTCCAAAAGCAGACATGCAGCCTGCACACAAAAATGCAGTTGTGCACAGTGGCACAGAAAAAGCATTGTCAGTGCCTCTTTATTGCTCTGGGCTTGACGATCCTCCTTTGATAGAGCAGCTTTGAAGCCTGACACCACTGACTGCAGAGAGTAAATCACTTCTCCACTTCGCTGTGTGAAGTGTTTACAGTGTTTAATGTAGGGAGGCCTCTCTCTCATTTTCAGTGGTATTAAGGATGAACACGCTCTGAAGAAGAGGAGCACCCAGCCACAAGAGCTAAGTCCTCCATTATGAAAAATAAATCCCAAGCTCTGAATGTATAACAGCATGTAAAGCAGGCTGGCTCTCTCTACCTTTCCCGCTAAGCTGATCATGTTGCAGAAAAAGGGCTTAAAAAACTCTTACCCCTTACTAACAACACAGTCCTGTTCCCCAGCAGAAACCTTCCTACCCACTGGCACAGTGTTGCACGTCATGGGCTGGACAGGAGGCTGCAGAGCCCCAGCATGGTGCCCAGCTCCCCTCGCTGCAATCCCAGCGTGGCTCCAGCACCTGGGTTGGTCCCACACGCCATCCACCACTCCGCAAGCGACCCGTAAGTGCGTGGACCAGGAGTGCAACCATAGCCATCGCAATGGATGCGCTCAACCAGCTGCCTGCAGAGAGGCCAGGTACTTCCATATGGCTGCAGGAAAGATTTTGCTGTGACAGTCAAGGGACTGTTGGTTCTCAGCATCAAACAGGGCTAATCTGAGCAGAGGCGTTTTTGATGCACGCTAGTAAATGATGAGCATCACAGCCAGTTAGTTGTGATTCCTTACCAAGCAAAGCTAATTGGACCCTGCGTGCTAGCAGTGGCATTTGGGTTGGTTGAGAAAGGTGCTGTGAAAAAACACTGGGGAATGCCATTGCCTGGGTAAGTTAGGGTGACATTTCCTCTTCCTTGTTCCTCGTGCGCGATGTGGAGCAGCGATGGCTTTATCTCCGTCGCTGACTCATGCACCTATTCTGGTCTCCTGACTGAAGCAGTGGGTTGGTTCCTTGGCTGTGCAGTCACACGCTGCCTTGAGTAAAGGAACGTGAAAGAGATTCGTATCTGATGTGTTTCTTAAAGGCGGAGCGTGCAGTGGTGGAGCAAAGGTGAAGGCTCGTGGGATGAACTGGTGGAACAGTAGGATGGGAAGAGGCTTCTTCTGGTTGTAGCAAACTGCACCGTGGTTTGTGTGGTTCCATTGAATATCCCAAGTTGGAAGGGTCACAGAGCCCAACTCCTGATAGAATCATAGGATCATAGAATCATTCAGGTTGGAAAAGAACCTCTCAGACCATCCAGTCCGTTCATCTGCCAACCACCAGAGCTGCCCACCAGCCACGTTCCTCAGTGCCACATCTCCACACTGAACACCTGCAGGGTCGGTGACCCCTCCACCTCCCTGGACAGCTGTGCCAATGCCCAACCACCCTTTCAGAGAAGTTTTCCTAATATCCAATGGAATCACCCCAAGGTCAAGCTATACTTCAATAGTTTATGGGGGTTTTGCCATTATTAACTGCCATTAGCAAGACAAAGTCATTAACAAACAACCAAAATAATACTCCAGAGCAAAGAACATTGCTATGCAGACCATAAGGCCATGTGCAC